TCATTTATTCCATCACTTCTTCGGATTATTTATTTTTAATCAATCTATATTCATGTGAAGTGTAGCTCATCTGCATTTTTCTTTCCCTGGAACCTAAATGTATATTATGAGTTTGAATCCATCAGAAACTAAGTCAGTCAAAATCAAATTTAACTACATACGAAGTGAAAACGATTTGTATTTCGCAAATCAAAGTGATAGTTAAAGCAACCAAACTGTGTCAGAAATGTTCCCAAATTACTAGGTAAGGCTTTTATCAGCTCATCATCTGATCCAATAATTTTAATTGTGGCATTTCATTCGGCATGTCGCCGCACGACTTCTATGATACTCAAAGTCTCACATATATAATTTGAAAGGGGGGGTCTGGGGGGGCGGCGCCCCCTCAGCAGGTAGCTTTTGCTACTTGTTTTATTAACAGCGTATAAATGCCTTTGGTTTTTTTTTCAGCTGGCCCACTATCCATACAGTTTATTTTTGTTTGCTGAGGGCCTCATCATGTGCCTCTTAAATCATGAAAATGGTCTACTCTTGGGAGAAGTTGCACCAAAGGTTTTCCAAACAGTTCTTTTCAGCAGTTCTATTTGTTACATGGGCGACACTAATTTTGCAAACACAGATTTAAGAGATATATTTAAAGAGCGTAAGTATGTCAATATATGCTATCAATATGTTTCATTTGTATTTTCTGTTATTTTTGCTGTGTGCTGTGAATTGAAGAGAAGCCCAATCTTCCTTAAAAAAAAAAATTTGTTTTGACTGGGCATTTGGCAATGATGGAATGAATTGTGCCTCAAAAAAATTTAGAAAGAGTGCCAACAATGAGTAAAAATGCACATGCATGCTGCAAGCTCATGCCATTGAGGTAGACCCTAAACTTCGTTTTACTGGTCTTAATCTAGAATCAACATATCTTGCAATTTTGCTCACAGCTCTGCCAATGTAACCGTGTCACCATGGGTGCAAAAACAATTTCCCTTCAAACCTAATTGGGATCTTGGGATTTACTCTCCTAACCTTCCCCTTTTTTTCAGAGAATTTCAATCAAAGGTAAAAATTACGCATTTGCTAAATTGACCAATATTTCAGAGTCCGAGACCATACTGATTACACTTTAACTGAAAATCAACAACTATTTGAATGCTCTTTAAATGTGCCATATAATCAGAAGTTCTATCCTGGAAAAATTCTAATTTCCCTAAACTATAACTGCAAAGACAAATTAAAAACATGTCAATGGCCCAAGTTATGATCATGCACACATTGCCGAATTTCCCCCCCTTGATATATTTATTTTTGAGAACAATTATGAACATCTCCACTTGAAAATTTCAGATACTTTATGGCACATTGCAAGGAAAATTCTCTGAAAAATCGGACAAAATATTTTCTCAGGTTTTCCTAAATTTTCGTGTTTTATCAAAGGAAATTTGGCAATGCACAAAGGCTCATGCAGCGTTCTTCCTTAGCACAGCAGTATATCCAACCAGTTAAAATGTGAGCATCATTGATTCATAAGTGCATTATCCAATGGGAATACATGCCATATACTACTGAGATTGATGATGTCAGATGGTGTTTTTTCAAATTTGTTTCAATATTAGATGGACGAATTCGGATCTGGAACTTACTTAATTACTTTTTGCTAATCTACAACCAGTCATGATCAGACAAAGTTTTGTGCCATCTTGCAGTATGATTTCATCTATAATTCTCTGATTTCAGGAGACAGAGTGCGCTTTATAGCTGTCAGAGCACCTGGAAATCGAATGGTTGCTCAGTGGGTTGCGACTTATGTTGCACCCTTAGATCCTGCTGATAACGCAGACTTCTTAGTGCACGGAATGAAAGTGCAATGAAAATCTTACTATGTATGTACAAATCTTGAGACTCAATTTCAAAAAATCTTAGTTTTCCCCCCACCCTCACAATTTTTTCTTTCCGTCAGAATTTGTTTTTAATTCCCCTTTGTTTTGATTCAGTATTATCATCCAGTTATTTTCAAAGTATTTGTGGTCTTAAAATTATGGATGCATGTAATAATATGTAGTCCCTTTTTGGTAAAGTAAAGTTTTTATATGAGTCTTCGAAATAAATCATCCCTTTTTTATTAAACATCATAAATGCTGTCTCAGAGATTCTAAGACTGATGCTACACCTGAAACAATTTAAAATTTTTGAAATTTAAGTAAAGTCATTTTCTTTCTCTTTTTCAATTTTTGATAATATATTTTACCCACTGACTTTCTTTATTTGGCCTAGCAAATAAACTTCCTATCTGGTCTAAAAGTTATTACCATATTCTTTTTTTAATTTTTGGTAAAAGTTTATTAAAAAATAACAAAATAATTGTACAAGAAACTCATCACTCAAAAGGGTTTTTTTGAAGAAAAACTGTATTAATTTTTCTAAAGCTTATACACATCAAAAATTATTGCTGCTGCCAATTTTAGTCGTGTTGTAAAAAAATGTGTTAAATGTTTGTGCTCTGAACTATTAATGATTGTTGAACTGTCCTTGTCACCAATTCATTTCTGCATTTCATCAATATGCTATTTCAAATTCTTAACTTGATTCAGTAAGTTTGAAAAGTTAACAGAAAAAGGTGTCCAAGTGTTTGGACCAATGCTCTTGGAATTTCTCTTTCGCAGTTAAGGATAATCAATAGGTATGAATGTATGTGTCATGTTTGTTCCTTTTTAGCAAATTAAAGTTTCCATTATCTTCATAATGAAGGTTGCCTTTTCCACCGAATATGACAAATGTTGTCTAAGAGATACAGGATTGATGCTACACCTACCTGTTATTTTCGAGTTTTAATCATAGTCATTTTCTTTCACTATTTCGATGATTAACAACTTACTTATCTCACTGGCCAACTTCCTCTGTGCCTTCATCTAGCCTATATATTTAACAAGGTCGCAAAGTTATTATGTTCTTTTTTATAAATAACGCAATTCCAGAAAAGTACAATTTTATTTTAAGAAAAAATTATTACTAATTAGGATTTTTTTTCAGAAAATGTTTTTTTTAATTTGTTTAAACTCATTTATATTGAAGACTATGGCTGTTGTCAATTTTTGTTATGCTGTAAATAAATTTGTTTAATATTTTGTGCTATCTTATGTTTGAAAATTACTAAGGATCATTGTTGCCTCCTTATTACTCCCTCATTTCTGCATTTCTTCAATTTGATTTTCAAAACTCTCCATACCTACACAAATTTGGGAAATTTTACAGTAAGGAAGAGGGATCAAAAGTCATTTCTTACCAGAGATTTTCTCTGGTAAAGTTTAAACCAATGCCCTTGGAATTTCTCTCTCTCTATTTTGCATCTTAAAATGGTCTATTTTTTGCTTCCTCCTGATATATTTATCCTTCCAAACAATGAATAATTACAAATAAGGCCCTCAATAGATACCCCTACATACGTAACAGTTTTTTTTCTCCCCTGTTGATTCTTACGACCTTCACTCAGCTTTTGTTACTGTGTAACGTTTAGTTTTTCTGAGTTGAGTAATCTTCAAATGCAACACTTAAATAGAAACTGCACGAAAAACAAAAATATTTGTGCACCTTTATTATTTTCATGGACAAATACATAGTACATCAGTCGGATCGCTCAAATTTGTTTGCTCAAATTTTATATCATAGATGATCTGCTCACAGAGGACCAATAAATAAACTAAAGTATTTTATGCTTACCCATTACAAAAACTTTAACAAAAAAAAATATCCATAAAGTTTGGTCATTTCTTTTGTAAGATTGAAAATAACAACATGAAAAGCACGATAGTTTTTCATATGGATTACGTAAGTATGGTCGCACAGGCTATACCTAAACATCTATATTACTTTTTCCCTCTGTTGCAAGCTTCATTGAGCTGACTTACCCACTCCATTATGTTTTTAAATAGAATCAGGGATAAGTGGAGTTGAGGTGAGGAGATTAAACTTTACTTGATTGCTTGATTATTTTTGTGATTCAAGGACATGAAAAAATGGGGAGCTTCAGTAAAAAAACTGATCCTCCCTTTATTGCACAGGAGAATTAGAAAAAAGGCTCAATAGGCAATTAATATCAATGGCTTTATTATTTTCTTTGAAGTAAACAAAACAAGTATGTGCTGGGATTCCCTTTTACACTTATACATTGTTATTGATATTGTCACTGATTTGCTTTAAATTTTTGCGATAAAAGTAGACTTAAAAGATCCAAAATGTGCAACTATAAAAAATTTGTCTCATCTTTTATAGTATGTGAGTCAATTTTTCAGCTCTTGCAAAGATCATGTAGAATCTCAAGGAATTTCACTTTCCATATTTGGGCTTACACCATCTGCCCGCCAAAATTTTGTATTTTCAAAACCGCTTGCACAATTAAAATCAAAATTTCCTGGTAAATATTCAATATTTCAAAAATGCCGCCATAGGTCCTCTTGGAACCTGACTGGCTAAATAAGTTCCGGAGTGAAATTCCGGAATCAAGCGCTCGGTCCGGAGTAGTCTTTGTTGTTGTTTTGTTTTTGCTCATTATCATTATCTTTTTAGAATGCTGCATTGAAAATTTCCTTTTATGTTCATTGCTTACTGCGTAAGTGAAGAAGTGCGTAAATTTTCCTCCCCTTATCATCTCCTTTACTCTTTTATTGAGGCTCGCCCAATTTGCTCATTTGAAGATACAATTTTGTAAATAATCGTGTTGCTAAAATATACCTATCACTTTATCAGTGTGTCCTGTTACCCTCTGAAAGTATTGTGTAAGAATTCAGCTGTCATCAGTGTATTCTGTTTACCACATACCATTATGATTCCAGATAATCAGGCAGACCTATCAAACTCCTCTCATTGTTGAGTGCTTGACCTGTTTCAAAATTAGCCGATTCCTCTTTGCTCTCGAGTATTTCAGAATGACAAATATTTTTGCCAATAGGTAAGATTCACTCATAATTGCTTGTCTCACTGATACATATTGGTTTTGGTTATCTATCTCACGATAGGTTAAACAACTGTCGCAAGAAAGAATGAGATTGATCAGCTGTTTTTACGATCCGTGTGAAGTCTATTATTTACATCCGTTAGAACAAAATATTTGTCGTCAACAACCAAATCAACCATTTGTTCGAAGTTTAAGTTTCATGCGGGAAATGATCTAGAGTGTGATCCAAACTCTTTGTAGCGGCTGTTTGTTCCTAAGTGGAATGAGGCCAAGTCTTCAGGGATAATTGTAGACTGACCATGAAAACAGAACCAAATCTACTCAGTTTCTTTCCGAAGATAGATGCATTCTATCGATGTTTCTTTATCCAGCAATTGCAAGCCTTGATGTCTGAAATCTCGGTGCTTCTGCATCAAAAGTAGAACCAAACTTAGTACCTATGATTACAGTTTTTATGATTTCATGTTTATTATGGCACTGCTTATTTTTCTTCTCTTTGTCTCATTACGGGGAAGAACATAGATAACCTGATTCCATAGTTTCAACTCGACCTGCCACGCCTCTACGCTTTTTTGTTTCATGCCTTCCGCTCTCACTCTTTTGTTCAATGTTTGAATCCGACAGGTACCATGGGCAAAATCTTTAGGAATACTTCTTAGTAATGCTTGAATAACTTTGGCGCTTAAATATTCGTGGTCAGCTAACTATGATGATACTGGAACCTGGACGATCTTTTTTGATAAATACTAAAATCCACCAGAAACCTACATGTAGTAAGGGTTCAATTGAGTGGAGAAAAGCAAGAGTAATGTCTAATTAGTCAGAAAAATCTAAAACTAACACAATTCATTGCTTCAGCTTGAGGTTGTAATCTTTAATACAAGCAAAAGGAAAGCATTCAGTCTAAGTTCTTGATTTTATCCTTTTCAGAAAACGACTTCGTGAAAATGAAGATGAAGATAAACCGGATTGTATTCCTCTCTCTAAGCGAATCAATAACCTCCATATCGATGCGGGTACCAGTTACAATGGTCTTTCCATGATGCCACTTTGTAAACACTCTTGCTCTAGTCAGGTTTGTACCTTCATTTTTAGTCTTCTCTCTTCCTTCCAAAAAACTTGATGCATCCCTCTCTGATGATTTCTTCATGATATTGGTGATGAAAATCTCTTTGGCTCATCATCACTAAAGTAATCAAAGAATTCACAAAATGTCAATTTTCTAACCTTTTTCCAAAGTAATGAATATTTAATGGAAACCAAAACCTCATAAATTTACCGAATAAAATCTACCTAGTGTAAAGAATTTTGCAGCTTCTTTGTGGATTTTGATTAATTTTAAATGCTTTTACTTTGTAAAAAAAAAAATTGATACGTCTATTTTTAGAAGGGCCCAGCCAAAGAACACTCCAAAGCCTTACTTCCTCTCAGCAATCCAGACTTCTAGAATGCATAGGTAATAGAAGCATTGAGACCCTTAAAAATCAACGCTTTAAAAGAGACAGCTTCTGTATTAATGATAGTTTTATCTGATGGGAAAACCTTTTTTAAGAAAAATATATTTGAAGCTTTGGTGAAAGCTTGCTTTTTCAGGTATAGAGTCATCATAAAGGCCTTCAAACTGCTTGTGAAGAAGACATCTTTAAATAAATAAATAAATAAAAGAAATAAAAAATCCTCAGGATTTGAAAAGGGTCTAGGAAGTGTTGGAGCGTTGGAATGTACTCCTACAGTGGTTTTGTGAAAGCAGTTGAGGACGAAAAGTTTTTTGTGTCCGCAGTCAAGTTTTTTTTGCTGAATTTCTTAAAGGTCACACCCTTAGCATATATTTTTGGGGGAATAGACAGGAAACTTTTTTGCTTGTTGACTTCCGTGAAAAAAACTGTCTAAATCATTACTAATTGAGCACTAAGTCCTTCAGCAGACTTTTTTTATGAAGAAAGCTGGGAAGCGAGTTCTTTGGCTTGCACGTACAATAAGCCCTCCGATAGAAGGGCATTGGGAAAGCTTGCTGATTTATGCGAAAGCAAAGGACTTTCTGGATCCCTTTGAAGGGGTATGCAGCTATTATGGAGACTCAGCAATTTAATTTTGTGACTACTATTATTGCACGAAACAATTAACTCAATTTTGGCCTTGTTGGTACCATGCATTGCTTTTACTTTTTTGTTAAGTGAAAGAGTTTTGAGGTCTAGATTGCAACTATTTTTGCTCTGAAGAATTCTCTGCGCTCCTGTGACAATCATAGCCTGATCGTTTTCAGGAGAAATCCTTGTTCTAGCTTTTTTCCCTCTTTTGGCCCATCCACTTTCAATTTTAAGTGCATCCTTATTTAACTTATTTACGGTGAAACTGAAACAAAGTATATCTTGGTTTGCAATGCTGCAGACTTCCTGTCACAATTTCTTTTTTAAAGGGAAAAATACTCAGAGTAATTGCTTGAGAACTTCCTTGACTCCCTCCTGTTGGGAAAATATTTCGGGGCAAATTTGAACTGTATCGTTGTTTTTTGTATGTGCTGCATTGAAATAATTGCAGAGTACAATCAACAAACTCAGTAGAAAACCAAGTACCTATTTTATGTTGCAGTAAAAGTCTCTATAAAAATTTGAAATCGCACAAAAATTAGGACTGTGGGTTGAAATGGAAACAAATCAAAGAGTTTAGTTTTTTGAACCTCGCCGAAAAGGGGGCTAAAACCTAAAATCGTGGTATAATTGCTTTGAAAATTGCATCACGAGCGAACAAGCACTTAAAATGCTTAAAAATCTGAATCATACTGGAGATTCTGCAGTTCGAAGTTCGAAAAACACTGTTTCGTGTAGATGCTTTTCAATCTCTTACATTTTTCAAATGCGTTATTTTATGAAATGTAAATGTATTTAACCTGGAAACGTTTTTCTCTGTGTCCACAGGTTGATTCATACTCGCCTATGAAACAGGAAGCCACAGCATACAATGACTGTGTATCGTTGTCTATAAGTAATTGTAATGGCTCATCGAGATCAAATGAGAGTGCTGCTCCGCAGTTCTCATACAATCCAGATCTCTCGGCTTCAGACAACCCCCACTACTATGAACCAAATAGATTGTTGTATAATTTGTATATCGAGAGGGTGCAAAGGAGTAATGGCGCAGCCATGCATGTACCGTACTGAGGTGCCTTGAGACTGATTAGCCCTAAGGCCAAATGCTGTTATGATAAGGTGATTTTGGCCTTACTGAAGAGCTAGATCGTTTGAATAAAACTACAAAATACTGACCAATCAGTGATTTCATGCTGGACTTGCGGGAGAGTTGGATTGTTCCGAAGTTTTCAATTATCTCAACTACAAACGCCCATCATTATTCATGCCTTTGTCATTGGTGGGCTTGTGAGACTTCAGAGAGCACTGTTTCAGGAGAGTGGAATATTCTCATACTTCCTCAGGCATCTCCATAATTTAAAGGAATCTTCAGTTTATTTTCTGAGGCGCAGTTCTGCCACCAACAAAATTTGAATCTTTCTTGACTCAAAAGTCTAGTTGACTATTAATCTCGGCTGAAATATAGCAAGTTGCAATATTGCTGTACATGTTAAATTCTCTCATAAAAATTAATAATAATACCAAAAATTTCCTTCTCTGCTTTTATGTGCCTGCTCAGCTATGATGTCATATAAAATTTAATTCCAAAGTTTAAAAACAAATTTCAAGTCCTTACTGAGTCTGCCTTTATATTCCTTCAGCCCCCATATATTTTTATTCATCTAGCTTAGTGTGTGATGAAACATTTTGACGGTGAAACTCCCAAACCTTGTATCTTGGTTTGCGACATCGTAGACTTCCCATTATGTTTTACTTTTTAAAAACAGAACTACTCAACGTCAATTCTAATATACCATCTTGATATTTCTTCTCTGTGTGAAGCGAATTGTGAAAAAAACTTCAAAGAACGAAGTTTATTTGTTCACCTTTATAAAAATAAAATTGGAGTAAAGATCTTAAACATTGCAAAAGAGATACGTGTTATGGGAGTTTTGTCAACGATTTTCTGCTCATGTGGAATTTACTGTGTCAACAGCATCTAAACTAACGGAAAGTTTTAAATTTAACTTTTGAAGTTTCACTCGGAAAATGCTTACAGGCTTCCCTTGACAAAAACTAGGTTTTTGTGGAGTCGCTGCAGTATCAAAGTGCATATTTTTATGCCGTAAATTTGTTCTTGAGGGTGGTATAGAAGCATATTACATGAGGCAGATATTTGACAAATGATTATACAGCTAATAAAAAAATGAGTTTCTATGAATCTACTAAGAAAACTGAAGTGAACAGAAAATGCACTTATTCCTATTTTTGTATAGAAAATCAATTCTCCTTGTACCTCTAAAGTTTCACAGCAAAACTCTAATTTATTGATTGATTTTGTCCAATCCGTACAATTCCTTTGAAGCTGGATGATTAGTATCCTATACTCTCAGGATCTAAAGCAATTAAAACGGGTGATGATTGTGATTTTATCTTCCTCTCGTCCTTAAAATAAATTTGGCTGTCCATACCCACTGTATTCTTTGGACCCATCTAAAAGACGAGCATGACCTGTGCTTTTATTTTGCCTTTGCTGTTTTTGTCTTTGACCTCTGAAGTCCACCACCTGCCTCTGACTCTGAGCCTTCATTGTTCAGTACCTGTAATTGGCTTAATTATCTTAGAAGTGCTTTTGTTTAAGTTTATCTTTGTTTTTAGTCTGTATTGACGTTTCAATTTACCATGGAAATCATTATTCTAGAAATTTCAAGCATAATGTCAGGTTTTTTGCAAATACTGCAAATCTGCAGTCAATCATTTAATCTTATCTCCCTAATACTGTGTCTATTAGCATTGCAAACCAGAATACTAAAAAATGTTTAGACATGAAAAGAATATCATTCCACTAATCTGTTCTCTAATTTTCACTCCTGGCAAATTATGCCAAAAATGTTTTTTTTTTGTTGAGTTTAAATCCAGCAAAAAATTATTGTCTAAGTTCCTGGACTGCAAAATCATGAGTATTTGAGTGCATGCAAGGTAATTCTAAAATAATTATCTTTCAATGCGATGAATCATCCAACGATTGGATGACAGTTTACATGGGACCGTACATTTGATCGCTTGCGCTTTTTGTTTTAATTTTAAGGTAGATAGGGCCTTTTTTGGGAAGGAGTTGAAATCGTTGAATGGGCATGAAATACTTCTATTTTTGAGTGTAAAGTTTATGTTCTTCCATATCTTTTTTTGGTGTAATTTAATGATAGAGTAGTTTCAGAGTAGTTTCAAGATATTTTATTCACAGGGTTTTCTGGTGGTCTGAAAATAATTGAATATCAGGGAATTTACAGTGACCCAGAAAAGTCAGAAAACTCACAGAAATGTCAGGAAATTTTTCGAGTAGTGTGTCGGCTCAGCAGCTTAATTAAAAGAAAACAAATCGAAGTGCACATTTTGTTCAAAGGTTAAGAAATTCGGAAATTTCGGAGTCCCGAAAAAATAAACAAAGTTAAGGCATTGAAAACGATGATATTATGGAAACCCTGATTGATCAAAGCTCTGATTTTCTCCGGTTGCTTCATGTGTAAAATCTGTTACCAACAAAAGAAGAAATCAAATTTGCTACACCATGTGTTGTTTGTTTTGATGTCAAAGTATTTTTCTCTTGTGACACCATCAGGTGGTCCCCATCAATTAGAAAAAAATGAAGAAAAACAGCCCATTCTAGATTGTCCTCTTATTCAGTACACTATTAAACTAACTGGCACTGTCAGTTGGATGATCTGTCGCATGGTGCAAAACTTGACTTCTCCGAATCAAACTAAAATTCTCAACAGTTGGAACATTCAAGTTAGCTGTATCATCTAAAAGTATTTCCTTTGACAGACAGAAGAGAGAAAAAAAAATAGAACCCTTACTTCAGTTAAAAATTGTGGTTACAGAGTCAGTAGTGCAACTTTGTATGATGCGAAAGATCTGTTTTTTCTTTATTTCTCATTAATTTATTGTCAATATCGTATCAAAGTTGCGTACTTTGTCTAAGTAGCAAACACCATATTTCGTATCCCTAGTTTTAAAATAGTCACAAAAGGAATGAAATAAAAATTAATTATGAAAGCAAAAACCAGACATTTCTGAAAAGACTCACTTCTAAAATGCTCGTGGTTTCTCTTTTCATCATTTCTACTTCTTCTTCTGTTAATGAGTTGTTTTGATAAGTAGTCCATAAAAACTTTCGGATAATTAAAGGACCACTTAAAAAGTATTTATCTTTCCTCCCCTCAGAAATAATTTTCCTTCTTTCAAATTGGTTTATGTTAGTGTGTTGCTCTTCATTATTTAACTTTAATGATAATGATGTAAATAGTAGGTACTTTGTTCTTTCAATTATTATGATTTTATCAATGTTTATTGTTTTCCAATTTAAATTTTAATTTTAGAATCATAGAAGAAAGTACTGGGATGTTCAGATGTTTGCAGAAATACATTTGTGCAGGAAAAAAGAAGAAGAAAAAAGAAAAAACATCATTCATACATATTGGACTTTTACTTAGTTGTATGTATTTAATACACTTAAAAGAAGTGAGACTTCATCGCTAAAAAGCTTGATCATCTGATAATTCATTTCCGTCTAAATTATGAGTGAACGGTTCTGTTGAAAATTGTAAATTAATGCTGGTCGTAACCTCTTTTTCCCTGTAATTCAGCTCCAGACTTTCATCCCTTCAAATGTTTTTTAAACGAAAAATTTAAGTAACAAGAACAAGTTAATTTTGTACTCCTTGGCAGCCCCTTATGCTAATGATAAATTTACTGAGTTATACGATCTTGTTTTCTATAAATTTAGGAGTTAACCCATTGATCAGCCATCAATACTAATCTGTTTTAGTTAAAATTAAACCAAAAGTTCATTTGAGGTGGGTCAAAAAATATCTTGTATGGGAACTGATAACTGAAGTATTTTTTGAAAAGCATCAGTTGAGGATTTGCTGAAACTAGTTCTTATCGGTATCTAAAGATTTTTTTTTAACATTTAACTTTCTTTGAGAAACAGGTTGTCAACTAAGTCATTAACTTTGACGTGCCATGCAACCGGCAAAAATTGGCACCCCAATCACCAACTTTTGACGATAGATTGCCAAGTCTTGCTGGTTGCTCTGAGCGCCAAAAATTAATGATTTCTGACAGCCGTTTTCTCAATGTTTGTTACCTACCTCTAATAATTCTTAAATTGTATAACATAATATGTACCTCTCTTTTCAGACATTTTCTTTTTTGATCCAAAAGCTCAAGACTATGTTATTGTTGATGTATATTTTGATAATCTCAGATCACACTGCTTTGTAAGGCGGCTGAGAACTGTACTGTTTTTTTCTTTCTCTGAAAGTCTTTAACGATGAACATCTTTGACTTTAAAACTAGAGCTAGTCAGGTACTTTTTTCTTTAGATTTTTGACCACTTGAAAAGGAAGAAGCAAGATCTTGGTATATTAGTGCCCAGATCTCTGCAATTATTATTATACTTATCCTTTTTTGTTCATTTCCGTAGTGTAGTCATTTTTGTAATACTAAAAGATTCTCTGTTAAACCCCTCATTAAAGTTAAGTGATTCTTTTAAAGGACCTCTCAATTTTTATGATTTATTTCTTTTTCCTTACAAAATCAAGCCATCCTTCGGCCTCTGAATATTACAGGACTTCGGTCTACATAGAGTACGCCCTACTATATCAGCCGCTGAATTCTCAACAAGAGTCTCTGACAGTAGCAAGTTTGTGTACAAGTCATTAGACACCCTCACTTTTTTGGGCGACGTGCGCTAGAATTCAGTTTAAAACTAAAATTGTAATTATAGAAGGAAAAAGCTCATGCGCAGAAAATTTCCCTTAAAAAGATGTGCAGATTTGACCACAAGCAAAATTCAGAGAGATCTGAATGTTATACATTTATTTGATTTTCAATCATACGTATAAGAGATTTGTTTAGGGAAAGTCAAACTTTGGATTCATAAAGTTGTGAAATTAAATTTGTAATCTTATACACCTAATTTCTTAGAACAAAAGACAGAGAACTCCAAAATTCTTGTTCCAGATAATCTGCATTATCTAACGTTACTTCGTTTCTTAATATCTTTGTAAATTTAAGTCATGTAGATAGATACACAGCATGTAGTTCTTGTAGTAGTTACAATGTTTTTCAAGTGATGTTTGTTGGGAACCCAAAAAAAAAAAATATGAAGTTGCATCGAGCTGTTAGGGCTAGTGAAATGTTTAAAATTGATCCAAGTTCTTAATGAATTTTAAACAAGGAAAGTTTGACCCCTCCATCTACAACACAAGTCACTTCTTGTAAAGAACCTAATTGAGGAACTTCAGAGACTCCAGAAAATGAGGATGTTAGTGATTACTTGTTAATTAAATTCTGAGAAATGAAAAAGTCAACAGTTTCGTACTTGTAAAAGGGTCCATTTATTTTTATGTGTTGTACACAATGTAAGCGGAATACTTAGGAAAGTTGACTATCAAGGAGTATTCGGATAGTTAGATAACCAGTGGCGTGATTGATCGATAATTGTATTTCACCATTTTGAGCTGTGGTGAAGAATCAATTATCAGAGTGTTTGTTGCAAACACCCTGTTTCTTGATCCTTTTCCATAGGTTTAAATGGCAGATCAATCGATACCTCGCCAAGCACGCCATGTCACTGTAGATAACTAGGTGTTTAATTTACATGGGTACAAAATTCTGAAAATATTTACATACACAAGTTTTTATAAGATACCTCTTTCTTTGTTTGAATACTTAAAAATCGGTGGGTAAAGTCTAGAGTTTAAAGTCACACATTTCCCTAAATTCCATTAGTTTTCCCTCATTAACTCTCTTTTAGGGAGATAACGATGCACATTTGAAAATTTTAAGAACATATATCATTTTCATAGGTAAGCGACTGTACTGAAGTTATGTTGAAAATATCTAATTTTGACTCGTAGACGGGAAATACTCTCCAGTAATTCAAAGAATCAGTTGGGAGCAATGTCCATATTTGTGCCAAGAGTGGACGTAAAATTGCTTTTGAATTGTACAATTTTGAGCCCCTATAGTGACAGATGAAAACTTGGCTTTATTTTTTGAATTACCTACTTATTCAAACTATTACAGCTCCTCTGTTTGACGAAACACTTCTACGTTTTATTTGTGCTCAAATTTTTGTAAAATATTTTTTATCGACAAAAGGACCTTTATGTCTTGATTTTCAGTTATCAGGCTCTGAAATTCATTTTCCTTTGGAGAGTCAAATTTTAAAAAAAAACAAAGTTGCCCTATTGAATTGAGCAGAATGATACAAATAAAATAATACAAAAAGGGAAAGACAGCAAATAGTATTTCACCAACTGCGATAAACGCATGCACCCAGGGAACATTGATAGATAGTACAGATATTCATTTCAAACAATTTACTTACAAGAGCAAGAAAAGGATTCGGACTCTTTGATTGCCAAAATCTCATAGCAAATAACATACAGATACAAGTTTTTGCAGTGTTTTAATTGTTCAGCAAGTCCTGGAATGTCAGCCTATTTACACAATTTTAGTCTTCATTTCAATATTTCTTCTTTTCACTAAATTCTGCCAGGAACATTTAGAATTACAATTATACTGAATCAAATAATGGAAATAGGATCATCCATTAAGCTGGACAACATAGTTTTGGGTACCTATAAAATGTAAATCGAACGAGAGGGAAGGATAGTCTATTAACACTGAGAATAACTTATAAAATTAGCTTTATTCCTTGATACAGAATACTATGGTGTCAATATACCCTTCAGCGTTCTTGTGGCCTCATATGGTATTTCCTATGTAAGACTTTCCTCGTTATTTCGCATCTTTAAACAAACTTTGTGACACAATTTTTCCATGAACGTATTTTTTATAAACTCTGGTTCTAGTTTCAAACATTTTCATCGCACTTTTCCCTTCTACCATCCTCTCTAAAAATCAAATCTTTCAACACTGTAAGTTTTGTTGACAGAAAATACCTGTTCTATAAAAAATTTTGATTTTTAGTGAGAGATGGAATAATACTGCAGACATTTTCGAATTCAGCACCAGAAATTACAGAGGAAACTCCTCATTGCAATCTCAAAAGTTGCTAGAGAGTTGCTTAGAGCTTTGAGATTTAAGATAACCGGGAAAGTTTCCAACAAGAAAAACCATATGAATACAGAGGGGGATATTAGCTACAATTATCTTACGTCAAGAAGCAAAATTATTTTTACATTGTGATTTTCAGCAACAGCAGACTGTCTCCCTCACCCCTCCAGTTACGTTTATGATTTCAAGCAAAAACTTTGTTGCCTAGAGTTTTGAATTTGCCCAAAAATTTGACCATAAAAAACCAATATAAACTCATTGATTTTTTCAGGGAAAAATCCTGGAATGGACGGAAAAAATTGACGATCCTAAAGGTCCATTTGACTAATGTATCTGAATCTATCTTTGTTAGTTGAATCAGTTGTCTAAGAGGACCTCATGATTGAGAGAGACTTCTTTGTTTCTATGAAACTGACCCATCATTAAAGTATAGACAAAGCTTAGTCATATTTTCATTGACAGAGCAGGAATGTAGATGAAACAGAAAAAGGCCACCTGAAGACGAAAAAAAACACAAAGTAGTCCTGATCAGCCATAAACGCCGCAACCTAGGGTACCAAGAGTTGAATATGATCATGAGAAGCCTTCAAGAGAATTCAGTCATCTATCATGACCTGACGAATTGGAAGAACAATTTTTCTCACAGGACTCATCACCTAGGTAATCTGGGTAGTTTCGGTGTGCTTGTCTTAAAGCAGGCATCCTGACTTGCGACCCTAAACATGACGAAAATTGAATTATTTAAACAAATACAATACTTTAAAATATTCAAACATATTGATGAAGACATAATATTTAATGAGACAAAAAACTCTGGAGGGTCATGGTTCGAGCAGATTTAAGAATAAAAAAGTAAGCATTTTTTGAATAATTTTCAAGCTCTTTCAAGATCTCATTTGTAATTTATTCCTCAACACACGGTTTCCTTCTTTTATCAAGATTCGGAATTACGAGGATTTTATCTGGTTTTTTTTCTACTTCCCATTTTATTTTAATTACATGAATGCTTGATTTTGATAAGTTCATGTTAAATGCAATGTAGTCTAGATATTTGTGAAATCTAAAACGGACAAGTTTCAAGACAAAATGATTGAATTTGCTCCAATACAAAGATTACTTTGTAAAACTTACATTTTACTCCTTAGTAAATGATCCAGATCATGCTTATCGTAGTAAACCACAAAATCTGTAGGCTGTACTCCTTCAAATACAGCAACAACACTGGGCTTTAAGTTGTAAAAGAATAATGGTTGTCCTCGTTTTGAAAAATCCTCCGTTAGAACTTCTATGACCTGGCAAAGAAACATACTAAATTAATTCCAAGAAAAAAACTAAAAGACAGATGTGTTTTGATGTTTTCAGCATTTTTACACCCATTTCCAGTAGAAAAGTTACGATATCATATTAGAGTCCGAAGAGACCTGCCATAAGTTTCACCAAGGATTTGGGGCAAACATTTTTAGACGCACCGTTTTGGTACTATTTTTTATTGCAATTAAATTTACTCCATCCACTCTTTCGGTTATACCGTATGACCAATCCCTCAACTTGAATCTTCTTAAATTTAGATTTGGGACAAGTAAAATGAAACTCAGGCTATAATGGAAAGAGAAAATAAAGATGCATACCTTTGCTGCTGTAAAATCAGCACCATAAATATGAGAGCAGTCAATAACCACAGGTATACCTTGCTTTATACTGTGCTTGGTTACAAGGTTTCTGACATACGCTACAGATGGGAAGATTAAGCAACGGTCAGGCGTCAGCAGTAAATATTCTATTCCTGCTCGACTCTGCAATGAAGAGACAATTTTTTAATTCACGTAGAGTTGTAAAAAATATTAAGAAAATAAGTCTATGCAATCTAACCAGTCGCTGGAGAAACCTACACAAGTTTGAGATTCATTAGCTGTATGAGCATCGCTGAATATATGATCATTTTGAAACTAAAGTACTGAGAAGCTGTTATTTAAAAAAAAAAAAATTGATCCAGACATAGAATAGGGTACCTCCAAATGATTGGCACATTGAGAATGCCTTACTTTCAAAGCATAAAGCTTTCCTATGATAAGTTTGGTCGCCCATAATGTGCAAAGACATACTCAAACAGAGCTCTCACCAAGTCAAGCGCAGGTAGCAGTCACTAAGAATTGAAATGAGAAGGAAAATTTCTACTTAAAAGTGCCACCTTATCAAACAAGTGCAGGTTCTGTCCGATTTTAGAGAAAGGGTAGATTAGATTAAGTTAAAGATTGTCGGTGTAAGAAAGTCAGAAATCTAAATTTCCTCACATTGTGAATTTCCATGGAAATCTTCGGTCTGGCTGCATGATACAAAATTGATATTAAATTTAGTCCAATTCCGACAAGAATACCAATTTCTAGAGGTAGAATAAGACAAGCACCAAATGTTGATAGCCCAGGGATGAGATCACTTTCTGTAAAAGCACAACAGCATTTTATTATTTTCGTCTTATAGAGAATAATTCACAATACAAATTCTAAACCACAAAAAATGATGGTTTGTTATATTCTTATGTGTGCTTAATCACGTAAAAAACCGAGACTAGAGAGTAAGCTTAAGACCAGACCTTATGCATACTGAACTCATTCACTTATTGATGACTAGACAAACAGAATATATCCGTATCAAAAGAGACCGAGTCATCCTATTGCAGTCAATGTAGACGTACGATATTCTATTGTGTACCTCATGGTTGATAAACCACTTCTGGTAAATGACATTCAATTCATGAAGCTTCTAAAATTGCCAAGAAATTACACAGCGCGAGGCTTACACTAAACTTGAAAATAATTGAACAAATAAGTAGGTAATTAATAATGCCTTGAAAAGGTAATTTCACCCAAAGACAGTATACGTCACTATGTTCCTCGCTGTGTGAAAGAGTGGCGCAAAGTACTTCTTATTTTTTTTAGACAAAAAATGCACTCGAAGTATTTAAAAAAAATTGCTCATCTTAGTGTTTAATTTTTCGGAATTAGTTCCAAATGGTTAGGAACTCTGACAGTATACAGATAGTATAGAGATGGGTTTCTAGTAATAGAGAATTTTGTTACAGAAAAAAATTGAAAGCTTGAGAGTGGGACAACAGCAGTTTTGTTCTGGCTGGTATTTCACAGCATGGGGAGATTTTCATCCTTACAGAATCCAGGAACTTACTTTTGGAACGATAAATCGGTTTGACAACATCGACTTCAACCATGAAGATTACAGCTGCGACAATGACTGCAGCAAGAGCAGCTTTAGGGATGAAATAGAAGTATGGAGTGAAAAACAGCAAAGCAAGTATGACCAAGACGCCTGCAAATGAAAAAGAAAAACTCTATGGAGAAAGCATTATAAGTTACATTCAGGACTAGAGATGCCTCAAAAATTTTATCACTACCTAGCCCTATGGAGAGCAAACTAAGGAGGCTAGTGTGGGAACAATACAATAAGGATTGCGAAACGTACCTACTTTGAACTAAAATAGAGACCTCTATAACACACAAATCAGAATCACAGATCAATTATATATTAATGCTGCAACATAAAGCTAGGCAGACCGCTCTCCTAACGAAATCTTGCCTGCAAGTATTTTTCTCCCAAAGAATTACACAGTTTGTTTTGCATGCTTACACAAGGCTAAAATTCGGCCTTTCTTGTAGGTGGAATGCATGACCTCTCCCTAATACACCAGGGACCGTGTTAGGTTTGACACCAAGAAAGTACGACTTTTCAACGACTTGAGCGCGCACCGTGGTGTACGTGCAATGCATGAAGTATCCGGCAGACTTGCAAGGCGCTTACGATGCCTTGCGCGCACCGTGCAACGCACCGTGCTGTACGCGCAATGCATGAAGTATCCTGTGGGCTTGTAAGGCGCTACTAAGCGTTTTGCGCCGTGCGCGCCACACGCTTCCAGATCAGCTCTCATCATTTATCAAGCAAGCTTTTTTCATTAACTGAGCTTTTTTCTCAATAGTCAAGTCATGAACAGAAACTTCTAGAGGACGTGTTCTGTAGCTGGCTTTGTAAAATTCCCATTCCCTTTTTAAGAGGATGTGTTATCAATTTGCATTAGACTTAATTTAAGCAAAAAATACACTTTACTTTTCAAAATTTTCTTTTAAAATCATTTGAAAGACAAACAAATTACTCTGAACGTGTTTAAAATTAAATATTCCTGTTACTACAGGTAATCTCTAAGAATGGAGGCTCTTTTAAAATTTTTGAGCTTCAGAAAAATCTTGGCAGTCTTCATAATTTAAAAAATTGTTATCATAAATTTTTGATATGATGGGTTCTCTCTACAAATTAATATTTTTTGACCTTACTGACCCCTCACAATTTTAAGACTTTTCGAAAAATTATTCCTCCTAATTTGACCGATTGTAGTTATCAATAGGAAATTTAGTATTTAAAGATATAATATTAAAAATTGTCAGTATTGTTTTAAATGGGACTGCAAGAAAGATTTGCAGAAAGACATTTTTTAGACATCTTTATGGCATTTCCGACTAATCAATCATCAGTATTGGGGCTGGTGAACAACTGTGCTTACCAGTATATAGACCACCCAAAGGAGTTCTCACACCACTGGCATTATTGACAGCACTCCTTGATAATGAACCAGATCCAGGGAATGAGCACACAAATGAGTTTCCAATGTTGCATAAACCGATTGCAATTAATTCTTGTGTTGAGTCAACAGGTTTCCCGTGTGCTGAAAATAAATCATAATAAAAATTATTGAAAGCTTTTGGACTTCGGAATAATGATTAATGATAACGGATCAAAAAGGAAACTGAGAGTTTTAGTGAGCTCATTTAAAAATTAAATTTTTTGGACGCGATTTGAAAACAAGCAGGTTTCAATCTACCTTAGGCCCAATTCTTTTTTCTCTTCTTTTTTTTAGGATATGAGGCCAATAGGCCATATCTGTAACAGTTACCGCTGTTGACATCGACCATCTCTACATTTGAGATCGATAACAGTCAATGAAGAAATAGTTTCAAAGTCTGGAAGGTAGGCAAATCTGACAATGATTTCTTGACGCAGACCTACCAAAAGTTTTGCAGATAGCAATATTTTCCAGAAGAGCTACTAAAGGCAGGACCACAATGCCTGAACCCATATCTGATACCATGTCGATGAAATCAACAGTCTGGTTTGTTCTTATGTTCACACCACTGAATGGGGGGAAGCTCACCTCGGGTAAGCCTGGCGGAATATGACCTGCAAAATTTCCAAGTTAGAAAATTAATCACAAATTTAAAGGAACTAAAGAAATACAAATTTGCAGATGCAATCGCATAGATCTTAAAATAGGTGTCAAAAAATCCCCACAGAGATGAAAGATAGATATTAATATTGAGGAATTTTTAGAAATAATCAGGGAAGGGGGGGGGGAGGGGGTCAAGTCATGGCTGGGCACCTAAGCACATTTTGCAATCAGTTTTCAAACCAACAAAAACCACAAAGGTAAAGCTTGGGGAAATCATTTACTCGTGGACGAGTTTTAAGACCTTACTGCATAAAGGAAGCAGAAAGTTTAAAGGCTATGTATTTCTTACTGAATTATTTAAAGTATGCTAAACACTGAACCTGGCACTACCTACTTGGTATTTTGCGCATAAGGCTAATATCTAAGTAGGTAATTCCCGAAATTATAATCATCCTCTAAAGTTGCTACAGTAAACTTCAACTACTTAAAGGTATTTGTGGTAGATACGTCAATAACTGAGGTGAGGAAAATCCACTTACCTATAAGATTGAAAGGTACAGTAAGGCTGTTTTTTGTGAAATAAAATCCCAGCAATCCACTAAGTAACACAATAATGGCATTTCTAGCGGTGCTGATCAGCCATAAGGAGGAATTGATGAGTTTTTGAATCCTCGTGGGGCCTTCATCCTCATCTTCAGGTCCAATTTTTACATTACCGAGGAGCTAAAACAGGGATCACTCTTTTTAGTTTAAAATTGAAGTAATGTTAGAATGTTTATTTAGCCCTTAAATGCCCAAGACTTTTCACCCTTTTTTACACAAAGGTCCAAGTCTGATCAAATTGATCCGTATTTAAAACATTGATTTTGATAGTTTTTGAGGAATAGTCTATGTTATTTCAAGCCCAAAAATAAGAGCCGCCTCAACGTGCGGCGATGACGGCGCAAAGATACAACTACTCGTGCTTGATGGATGTCCGTGATGCATCTGCAAAATTGAAGGCGCGATGGTACGAGGCGTGAACACGCTATGATCCGCTCTATGCTGCCGATGAGGTGTCGATCAGATTCGGCAGAAAAGTTAAACAAGAGGTCTGAAAGCGTCGCTCGATTTTTTTCTTTCGTTCTCAATTTGATGTCCGATTCTTTTATTAATATGTACATACTTGGAGACTTATATCTAAAGCTCGTAAAGCTCGTATGAACCGGCCCCATACAACTCGCGAGCCACGTGTTGTCACTTCGTCAGAAACCTCGAGTGAATTTGACGCGGCTTGGGCATCTTAGGGTTAAATGGGTAGGTATTGAGGAAAACATGTGCCATCAGTTAAAGTACACAGTTGATCTAAAAGTTCTGTCATTAAAGCGAAAATATTTCAAACTAAGGTAATAGTTACGCAATTCGCTTTGAGATACAGAAATTTTAGTTGTTCATGACAAGAAAATGAAAATATTTCGTAAGATTATTACCAAAAATATACCTGAAAATAGAACACGTGTTAGTATGAATGATGAAAAGACAACTGCTTACGGTCCCGCTTTTCCGGGCATGTTTTGAAATTATGATTCATCTCCTTCTTTTTGAAAAAAAATATGGAAAGAGGGAATTTGTGAAAGATTTCAAAAAGTTGAAAAATGTGAGGAATAACAGTCACTCAAACCTTTTGTTCTTCTTATTACATTTTCACATTTTTAGCATTCTTTTGCACAGGTTTCCTCACAAGATTTTCTAATCTCCGCTACAAAGATGTTGACATTTTGCACCCACAGAAACACAAAGGAGCAAGCCTCGCCTGTCCGTGAGTGAATCCTGCTCGAAGACGATGACGATGCGACAAAACGCCTTCAAACAAGAGAGTATACGTTTTGCTGTACACGATGGATACTCACCCTCATGAGGAGGAGAATGATGATGCAGGCCCCGCCGAGAACAGCATCTCCCATGTGCGTGTGCTCGATATCTTTGAAAATGCTGATCCACATCTGGACGAAAGTCGTGCCGGACGTCTTGATAGCCAGCAGATCTTTGATTTGGGAAGATATGATGATTAGAGCCACTGCGGAGGTGAATCCGGACGAAACAGGACCCGAAACGAAATCTATGATGATTCCTGTCGAGTAACAGACCCGATTAGTTTCGAAAAAACAGAAGAAGGAAACTCTCTGACAACCCTATAGTTTTCTGGATGGAAAATAACATTGTAATAAAGCTATGCTCAAAAATTTACCTAGGCTAAAAAAATAGAGGACCAAAGTACTCCCGTGTCAAGGAAATACGCTGTATGAGTCTTCAGACGTTGCCATATTTCTTCCGACAAAAAGCGAATCTACCGGGGAAACTTTAAATATTTTTTTTAAACTTTTGCGAAATTTTTCTTCGCAATTTAATATAGACTATCTGAAAATTTCAATAAAAAATGTTCATGACTTCCCTCGGAAATTCGTGTTTCATCCGGGGAAATTTAGCAACTCTCGAATGCTCATACGGGGTTCTTCCCTAACACGGCAGAGTAGGGATGTGAACGATTGCTGAAAAAGACTTTTGAAACACTCGTAAACTTTAAAAAGACTGCACAGTAAGAAAAATTAACCAACATTTTGTGTAAATATCGGAAGCAAAACACGAAGTAACACAAGGTATTGGTTGAATATTTTTGTGTCAGTATTCCCTGTGTAAAATCGACCAAATCTTTGTGTTGAAAATCTGCGACCTCGTTAAAAACTACGCGACAGTCACTAAGTTTAAACCTGGATCGTATTGGTGGTAAACCAATGCGCTGGCCACTCGCAAGTCACAATATCTGAGTATTAGAAGGAAAAAATAAGTACATAAAGGACTCTCCCTTTATGCCCCGATGCCTCTGAGTACCCTAGGGTTTGGGTCGCTTTTATACAAAATTGTGTTGAGCAACCATGTCCTTTAGGTTGATCTGACACAAAAACAGTAACACAAAGTAACACTAAACACGGAAATTTTCGCTGCCTATAGTCTATAAAGTCTATAGTCATATAGTCTATAAAGAACCAATCATGTCAACCAATAGAGTCGCTCTATACTCCCTATGTCTTCTCTGTCTATCGCTTTGTCTATCAGTTTCAATAATCGGCCCGCTGTTCCCTCTCAATGAATGCGAGGAATTTGGATGTTTTTTTTGGAGAATACTCACCTAGACCTGAGATCCCCATTATGAGTTGTATGACGCCGCTGAGAAAACACAAGAGGGTGGCGTAGGCTGGTCCAGCGCCTTTGACGACTTGGTACGTTAGAAGAGACACAATTGCAGTCGGTCCCATAGGAACATCCTTACAGCTACCGATGAATATGTACATTATACAGCCAAGAAAAGACCCGTAAAGACCGTACTGTTGAGGAAAGGCCATGAAGAGGTCAAAAATTTTAATGGAGAAGTTTAAAACAAACGAAAAATGTCTGATAGCAAATTTTTTTTACGTAAGTATGCTGATTTGTTTAAAATAAATTATTTTCGTTAAAAAATTCATGGGTGAGTAAAATCCAGCTGGAAAAAGTGTCATGATGGCCTTGTGTAGGGGTAAGGGTGAGAGGGAGGGAAGGCGAAGCCCCTTGAAACGAGAGTGTAAACAAGCAGGGATACATGTGTTCGCAAACGGCTGCATTCAAATTACCCCCCCCCCTTCCCTCCCCGGATAAAGTGTTTGAATATCTAATCGATAATCCCCATTGCAGATGATTCTTTCGTTTATAATTGTGATTACCTCATTCTTCACATATTGATATCGCCTTGTTGACGTCTTCACTTTATTTTGCAATCGGGAGCAATTATTGACATTTAAAATTCCTGTAAGTAAAGCTGCGCATGCCTGTTGATCACAGATCAGTTTTTTCCTCTTGTCGAAAACATGAATTTCTTGAGAAGGAAACCGAGGTGTTTCACAATTTCAAAAAAAAAACCGGGCCTTAATGATGATGGAGAGCTTCGTCCCTTGATTTCATAGTAAGTCAAATTCTCAATTATGCACGAAATGAAACTGTTGGCTGTAAATAAATAAGTACAGGTATATGACAGTGTGACGCGACAAACGAAAAATAAGAACGTATGATACAACGAAACAGGGTTCTGCCTATGAGGAATAAGTGCAGATTTTAATAATAATCGTTGAGATGGTGTAATTTACACAGTCTTTGATTTGGTCCAGAGGTGACGTACAGCGGTGAAACAAACACAAATATTATGCTCTGAAGTTGAAATGTGCATGCGAGCAGATTTCATTCGGACGTATTTAAACCAAACAGACCTATACCTATTCTGACATGAGCCCTGAGACCCATACAAGCGCATGCATGACAGGACTCATGTTTAAATGGACATAAGTCCTTTTGATTAACATACGTCTTCTTGAACCTTAGAATAACAAAAGAAATGAAGGATTTCTTGAGCTAATTTGCGCACAGACGGCTGTAATGCCAAACTTTTGGGAGTGTTTTTTCGGGCCTTAGAGTAAAACAAATTAAATCTGAGCGAAAAAAATTAGGGAGATTCCTCGGCTTATAGCACCCAAGTCAATTACTTATCCAGGTTTCAGGACATTTTGTAAACGATTTTTTGTCCGCGCACCTTTTTTGTCCAGTAGTTTACGCCCACACGTAAGATAAGCAACAGTGACTTGGTCCAAGCGTTATATTTTTGTCGGTATGTAAAATTATATTGACACTATGGAAATGATGAATTGAAAGAGAAGGAGGTGTTGTTATGGTTGCTCATTTTCTATACGACTTGTTATTACTTTCTCCTTTCGAATCATCTTTTTAAACTGTCATTGATGAATATTTGGTTTTATTTCTATCCTTAAAATATTGAATGTACAATATATATACCTTATAAATGTATAGGTACCTATTTTTTTATTTTTTTCTTTACGAAAGTATTACTTCATTTTGAAAACATTTATATTTTTAAAACGTGACAAATATTTGTAAAACCTTTTCCAAGCGACATTAATCTCAATGAGCCGCAGTTGTGCCGACAGAAACTGCAAAAATGAATAAAATAGGGGAAAAAGCAAGAAGCACGCAATATTTAGTTTTAACCCATTTGTACATCGATCTCTTAGAGTCAAATACGTCAAATTTTGAGCGTTTCGTTGCGCGTACACCTCGCTGCAGCACAATAAAAGCACAAAATGTAAAAGAAAAAATTAAAGTGCTTTGGAAATCATTAAATTTGACACGGAACCATCAATATTTAAAAAATACACATTATATTATTATTCTCCTTTGATAAATTGATACATATTTTTCCCCCATCAATTTAAATGAGAATAATCAATGATTCGGTGTTGATCTTTCGAACTGTGCAGACGTGTTTTGTAGAGCGCTCGTGAGACGGTAAAGCTTTTGGTTCGGCTCGCGGCCCGGGCATCGCGGCGCGCAGCGACCGCGAGATAACGTAAACAAAGTGCGGTTACGGCCGAAACTTCTATGTCGCTGTTGCCACACAAGTGTAAACATGGAGTGTATTGTTTTTGGAGAGACGATCAGTTCATCGGCTGTCAAAAATGCTACATCAGAGGAAAACTTGACTTCCTGAAATCGAGTCCAGCAAGAGTGAAAAATATGACGGATAAAAATCCGTTTGAGAAGAGTTCGCTCCTTTCAAGATCGCCCCAGGGGACAACCACGAGGACGAATACCGATGATAAAACAGATGATATAGC